GGATTCAGTGCCAGAAGGTGAGTCCTTAGTTTGGAAGACACTTAAAATTGTACTGGGGAAGAGCTGCTCCTTCAAATTACAGCTGACTGTGATGTCATGGATGGAGTAAACATTTCAGAAGCTTCAAAAGCTAATGGTGTAGAACTCAAAATGAGGAGAAACAACTGTAAACATCCATTAATAATCAGAACATGGAATGGAAATTTTGCTACAGATAATTTAAAAATGACTGCAACAGTACATTGACAGGAAATTGCCAGAGTTTGAAGTAAAATTCAGAAGAGGACATGTAACTAGAGCTATCATTGCTAATGTCTGATGGATCTTGGCTGACAGCAGAGAATACCAGAAAGATATTTACATCTGCTTTTGACTGTGTGGATCATGACAAGCTATGAATAACATTTCAAAGAATGGGTATTCTAGAACACTTGATTGTACTCATGAGGAACCTGTACACAGACCAAGAGACAGTAGATCAAACAAAACAAGAGGATACTGAATGGTTTAAAATCAGGAAAGGTATGCATCATGGTTGTATTCTTTTATCATACTTAGTCAGTCTGAATGCTGAGCAAATAATCCAAGAAGCTGGATTACATGAATAAGAATATGGCAACAGGATTGGAGGAAGACTCATTAAAACAATCTGCAATATGCAGACGATACAACCTTGCTTGCTGGAAGCTAAGAGGACTTAAAATACTTAACGTTGAAGATCAAAGACCACAGTCTACAATATGGACTGCACCCAAAGAAAAGAAAACAAAAAACCTCACAACTGGACCAATAAATAACATCAGGATAAATGGAGAAAATATTGAAGTTCTCAAAGACTTCATTTTGCTTGGATCCATTATCAACATTCATTGAACATTCAAGAAATCAAACGATGTATTGCATTAGGCAAATCTGCTGCACACAGCTGCTTTAAAGTGTTAAAGAACAAAGGTACCAATATGAGGGCTAAGGGGCACCTGATCCAAACCACAGAATTTTCAGTGACCTCACATACATGTGATAAGGAAGCAGTATATAGAATATATAAAGAATTCTTTAAAAACAACAATAAAGGGACTAATGACTCAATTTAAAAACTGGGAGTGGGGGAAAAGATGGCAGACTAGGCAGAAAGGCTGTGTGGGCTCTCTACAATAGATACAGAAAACCAGACAAGACAGATACAAAGGACATTCCTGGAACCCTGTACTCCAGAGGAACTGATAGAAAAGTGGATTGTGTGCTTACTCGTAGACAGAGTTAAATAGACATAGCAAGAGACAAGGTGACAGATGAGCATCGCAGTCATCAGAATGTGCAGCAGCCATCTTGGCAATTCATGAATGGCTTTAGAAATAAGAAAGCACATCTGTTTTGCAGAAACCTACGTGAGGCTTGCAGAGACAAAAGTATATTTTATTTTTTTCCTGACCAGTGTACAACCTCAAAGAAACTCCCTTTCCAGGTGGTCAAAAACACTTAGCGGTTGTAAGCCCCAGGGAGGAACATAATAAGCGCACTAGGGCAAGCTCTGTTCCAAATCTGCAAAGTCGACCCTGGCCAGCCTGAACTGTTATCCCTAAGGAGAGGGGGCTGAACGGACACATGTGGTAGAGAGGGGGGAAAAAAAAAAAAGCAAGGAAGGAAGTGTGTGGACCCTCCGGACACAGCACGATCAATTTGAACTTTCCCAGGCAGCTCTGAGGACTTCTGGTGTGGCCGTATAGGATCAGCAGTGGATAGCAAACCCCAAGGTCAGCAGTTTCAAATCCACCAGCTGCTCCTTGGAAACCCTATGTCACTATGAATCGGTTCCAACTCAACGGCACTTAACAACAACAGGCGACTGATAAAAGGCAAGAGGCCAGTAAGTGGGGGAGTACACAATTACTCCTAATTATTGCCTAATTGTTTTTATTTTCTTCTTTTCCCAGTTTTATTATGTTTATATTGGGGTTGTTTTTTTTTAAGTTTTTTCTGATGTTTGTTTGTTTGTCCTCCTTCTCTCTTCTGGGAGTATTTCCTCTTCTTACATCATAAAACATTATGACAGCAACTGTGGTCATACAGCCAGACTACAGTCTTATCCTCTACAACCCCACCAATTGGGCAAGAGTCAGTACCAGTTGCTATATACCAGAGCAGCGTCGACAACCAACATCTGCTAAAACCACTCTGAATTGAAGAGAGAAGCTCATCTCCTGATCACACCCACAGGAGGCAATTGGCGAGTGCCTAAAAATACACCAACATACATTCATCAACTTAATATAAATATAACACCACCACAATGCCTAAAAAGCAGCTGGATATTTCTGTTCAATTAAAAAAACTGGGCAAATAATTTGAACAGAATATTTTTCCAAGGAATCTATTTAAAAAACTAATAAGCAGAAAAGAAGATGCTCAACTTCATTAGTCATTAGGAAAATGCAGAAGCAAATCTCAATGATACTAGTTCACACCCGTAGGATGGCACTAAAAAAAAAAAAAAAGCAACTGTTGGTAAGGAACTTCATACAGTGCTGGTAGGAATATAAAATGGTACAGCTGCTTTGGAAAACATTTGTCAATTCTTCAAAAAGTTACACACAGACTTACCATGTGACTGGCAATTCCACTCCTAGGTATATAACTAAGGGAATCAAAAACACACCTAACATATGCTCATAGAGGCATTACTCATAATAGACAAAAAGTAGAAACACAACCCAAATGTCCATTAGTTGAATAATGGATGAAGCAAAATGTAACATACCATTCAGCCATTAAAAAGAAGCACTGTGACACATTCTACAATACGTATGAAATATGAACCATGAGAACATTTTGCTAAATGAAATAGTCTAGTAACAAAAGATCAGATTCCATTTATATAAAAGGTCCAGAATAAGCAAAGCTATACGCTGTGGGATAATGTGTCAGACTGAAAAGTTATGTGAACATCTAGGTTGGTGGTTCAAACTCACCAGCTGCTACTTGGGAACCCAATATAGGGAGGGTCGCTATGGGTCAGAATCGACTCTATGGCACTTAACAACAATAACAACACACAGACAGAAAATAGATTAGTAGTTGTCTGGGGTTAAGAGGAAGAATGGAGACTGACAGCGTACTGCTATGAAATTTCTTTATGGAGTGATGAAAATATCTGGAACAGAGATAATGCTTACACAATTAGGTGAATATACTAAAACAAAAAAAAAAAAACAAAAAACTGATCAGTACTCTTTAAAAGGGTATGACATGTAAACTACGTCTCAACAAAAAGGAAAAATAAATCTAATTTAAAAAATTACTCAGGGTGTCTGCCCGTGTCTACTGGGGTAGGTGCCCAATTTTGCAAAATCAAATAAAGAAAACCTCACTCTCGCTAAAAAAACAACAACAACAAAAATTACTCCAGTGAAAACAGCAGTATGCTTACCTGCTCATAGATCTCAATGGCTTTCTGATACTGCTCAAGCTGGGCAGCATATGCTGCTACCTTCAGCAGACACTTGTTAGCAGAACTGAAATCAAGAACCAGAGGCAGAATAAATAATAATACAGTGGAAAAATAAAAGACATGAATAAGAGCCCAAGAGCTCTTCATTTGGTACAAATAATACATATATTACATATGTTGTTGTTAAGTGCCGTGGAGTCGGTTCTGACTCATAGCGACCCTGCACAGGGTTTCCGAGGCTGTAAATCTTTACGGGAGCAGAAAGCCTCATCTTTCTCCCACGGAGCAGTTGGTAGTTTCAAACGGCTGACCTCGCGGTTCACAGCCCGATTCATAACCACTACACTAACAGAGCTCCTTATTATAGAGCATAATAAAGACTTGTCTTTTGTCATACATAATATGATCCAGTTAATTACAATAGGGAAAAAATACTTGCCTGTTGGATTCTTCACCTTTGTAATAATCAGCAGATTGTTCATAATGGGCAATAGCCTGAAAATACACAATTGCATTTGAAAACTACATATTACATAGCTATTTTCATATACATAACCTATTCCAATGGCAACATTTTTACAACTTGAATTACTTCATTTAGAGAATGCAAGAAAGCACACAGTTTAAGAAGCCTTCTACCAAAATTGTGTCCCACAGAAACAGGCTGGTAGCTAGGAGTAGATGCCCAGCGACACTGTATTTCCCAAGCTCCACTATAGTTAGTAATAGTCATGTGACTAGTTCTTACCAATAAAATGCAAATAGACCTGCTATGGGCCACTTCTAGGCTTGGTCCAGATATCTGCTTGGTATTCTTTCTCCAGGTCTTTTCCCATTCCTAAGCTAGAATTCTAATGACCAGTTTCTAGACTGAAACTAGAAGCAACAAGCTGAAGATGGCAGAACTTTTGTCAGGCTTGTTTCCTGAACCACTAAAAAGAACAAAATGTATGAGGGGGGCTTCAAAATGTTTGTGGAAATGGAATGAAAAGATGATAGACTGCTCCATGAACTTTCTGAAGCCTCCTCATATCCCACCTTAAAGTCCCCACTACTGGCAAACAGTTAATGTTGTGGTTAAGTGCTCTGGAGCTGGTTACGACTCAAAGTGACATTTGTATAGGATTTCTGAGGTGGTATATCTTTACGAATTGGGCTGCGAACCGCAAGGTCAGCAGTTCAAAACTACCAGCTGCTCCGCGGGAGAAAGATGAGGCTTTCTGCTCCCGCAAAGACAGCCTCGGAAACCCTGTATAGGGTCACTATGGGTCAGAACCGACTCGATGGCACTTAACAACAACATATCTTTGTAGGAGCAGAAAGTAGTTCAAATCTATAAGTTGCTCCACCATAGATAGAGGCTTTCTGCTACCATGAAGCTTTACAGCCTCAGAAACCCTACACAGGGTCACTATGAGTCGGAACCTACTTGATGGCAGACCACCACCACATCAACATATACTGCCCTCGTTGATATTACTAATAAATGTCATCTACAGTAAGGGCTGCCGCCTTCAACCTGAATTAACTGTCAAGCAAGTAAAAAGAACAAAGGTAGTAAGCTGTAAACTAGAAGCTCTTGTTATGCTGGGACAGAAGACTTAGTGAAATCAAGCATGTGACAATTTATAAAACAAAACATGTAACTACCTGAACCAGAAACTCATGAAAGTGAATTAGTCAGTTGCAGGCAATTGTGAAAGGGAACAGTCAACGTCCAGAGATAAGGGCCTTATAGAATTAGAAAAGCCAGTAGCTTCTAAAGCCCAAATGGCAAGAAACAAATATGAACAACATTTTAAATCAAGGATCAGCAAAGTTTTTCTGTAACAGGTCATATAATAAATATTTTAGGCTTCACTACTTAGCCTCAACTACTTAGACCTTTGATTGTAGCATAAAGCAGCCACAGATAACACATAAATGAATGAAAGTGGCTGTGTTTCAATAAAGCTTTATTCATGCACAATGAAATTTCAATTTCCTATTTTTACATGTCAAGATGTACTATACTTTTGACTAAAAACTAAAAATAATTTTAGCTTGCAGAGGTACAGAAATAGCCTTAAATAAAAAGTCAAAAAGCACAACAATAGCAACAAAAATATCCAGTGTCATCAAGTTTCAGATTCATGTTTCCCATTTAGACCCCAAACAGGGAGCTAACACATTGTGAAAAACAGATTATAGGTGCTGTCTTCCCACCAAGACCAGAATTTCAATGGTTTCAAGGCTACTACCAGTTAGTTAAGAGACAGGAGTGGGAAAAGGAATAATATTTTTAAAGCTACAGAATATTTAAAAATTATTTTAGTGGTTGTTATTGTCTCATGGAGCTGAATAGAAAAACCGATTTGATCCATGAAGTCCTCCAGGCTGACCCTGGAGGTAAAGCCAATGACTACAGATGGTAAAGACAATGACTACCAGACAAGTCACCTCTATAGGTTGAAGGCGGCAAAGTCAACATTATCCTTATCACTGGACTGACTGCAAGGCACTCTGAAATGGCCACTTTGGTAGACAGTTTTATGACATAAATTCTATTGTGTTTCAATGTTTGGGGCCTATTTGCTTCAGCCTACTTTAACTAACTGACTCCATAAACAAATATATTTTCTTAGCATTATTTATAATTGGGGAAAACTTAAAATACTTATATGCTACCATTAAGAATAATGGAAATTAAAAAATATTGATATGGAAAGTTATTCATGAAAAAAATTTAAAAGCATAGCTATAAAAGGGAGTCTTTTTGCAAAGACACAGACATACAGAAAAGTTTAGAAGAAAACACCTTTAAAACACTTCTCAAAGCTGTCCTATTATATGTGCTTGCTGTTGTTGCTATGTGCCATTATGTGTTTTTATGTGCCGCAGCCAGATCCGTAACCACTACGCTACCAGAGCTCCCTATATGTATTTATGGGATGCTTTTATGAACGTGCATATTTTCCTAAGAAAATGTAAGCTCTATAAGGAGCTCTGGGAGCGTAGTGGTTACAAATTGGGCTGTGAACCTCAAGGTCAGCAGTTCGAAACTACCAGCTGTTCCATGGGAGAAAGATGAGGCTTTCTGCTCCCATAACCTCGGAAACCCTGTACAGGGTCACTATGAGTCAGAACCGACTCCATGGCGCTTAGCAACGACAATAACACGAGGGCACGTTTTGAGTCTGTTTTGCTCACAGTCATGTCTCTGAATCTAGTATAACCAATTGCCACTGAGTTCATTACAATTCATAGTAATGCATGTGTTTCAGAGTAGAACTGTGTTCCACAGTGTATTCAATGGCTGCTTTTCAAACAGATTGCCACACTTTTCTTCTGAGGTGCTGCTTGGTGGACTCAAACTGCCAATCTTTCAGTGAGTAGCCAAACACTTTAACCAGAACCTAGCACAGTTCTTATAATATAGCAGGTGCTCACTAAATAGATGTTAAATGAATGCAAACCGACTTCACATGAAGGTCTTCTAGTAAACTACCAATATATAGATTAATTTAGAAAGCCCAGGGAAAAAAGTTTTTAACTGAGTTTATGATTAATAAAAAACCCTTCTCAGAACAATCCTTACTTAAAAAATGTTTCATTATCCTTTTCCATCTTAACAGAGTAAGGAATAACAAATTTCATAATATCTTTCTTAACGAGTATCAGGTTAGGAAATAACTTCTCAGGGCAGAGTGTATCTAGTTCGTATTATACTTCATATAGCACCAGAATTCATGAGTAGAACTAGGTTAAAAAATGAAATTGCCGTTGAGAATTTCATTTGGCTTAACCTAAAACTCAAGTGTGGCGCTGTTGGTTAATGTGCCAGACTACAAAGCCATTTGAACTGAAAGGTTGGTAGTTCAAGCTCACCAGCTGCTCCTTGGAAACCCTAGGGTCACTATGGGTCAGAACCAACTCAACGGCACTTAACAACAACAGCAATACTCAAGGATCCCTGGTGGCACATTGGTTACGTGCTCAGCCTCAAAGAGAAAGGTTGGTGGTTGGAACCCAGACAGTCTGCATTTATAAAGATTGTTGTTGTTAAATGCCATCAAGTTGGTTCTGACCCATAGCGACCAGGTATAAGGTTTCTGAGGCGTGGCGAGTGAGCTTGAACCGCCGTCTTTGCAGTTCAAATGGCTTTGCAGTCTGGCACATTAAGTCACAGCGCCACACCAGGATTACAGCCTCAGAAATCCAATGGGACAGTTCTACTCGATCCTATAGGGTCTCTAGTAATCAGAATAGACTTGAGGGCAATGGATTTAGAACCTAATATTTATTAAATAATGGTACTAGTGCACCCAAGGTTTATAACTGCAAGCAGACTGCCACATCTTTCTCCCACTGAGCATCTAATGAGTTCAAAATGTCAACTTTTCAGTAAGCAAATGCTTAACCACTGTGCCACCAGTTGTTTAAAATGATAATTAAATCAAGGATTAAATGTCATGGTTTTTCCAGATTTTTGACAGAGACTAGAATGGAAAGAAAAGTATCTAGGCTGGTTTAACAGAAAAGTTCAGAGAAAAGAAGCTGACCATCAGTTACCCTTGGATGTTCATACTTAGTTTAGGGTTTTAACATGTAATAAAGTTTACCAGACACAAGCAGACTAGAAATCAGTCTACTCGATCTTACCATTTCTAGTACTAATATATCAGCATACTGATAATAGCAGTATATACAGTATGTTGTTGTTGTTAAGTGCCGTTGAGTCGGTTCCGACCCATAGCGACCCTGAACAGGGTTTCCGAGGCTGTAAATCTTTACAGGAGCAGAAAGCCTTATCTTTCTCCCGTGGAGCAGCTGGTAGTTTCGAACTGCTGACCTTGCGGTTCGCAGCCCGATTCGTAACCACTACGCTACCAGAGCTTCCTTATATACAGTATACTTTTACTTCAATAAAGTAAATTATGCTTTTACTTAAAGTGACGAAGACATTACCATATTACTTGGAAAACAATGCTAGAGAATACATGGAATATTAAAAACAGATGTAAGCACCTAATACTGCATTCAAGGTCAGTACCTTAGAGCAAATGCAGTTTTCAGGGCTCAAGCTTAAAAGCCTATTTTGTAAGTGAAACAGTTTTACAATGGAATCAATGCTTTTAGATTAAATATCCCTGGTGTTGTTAAGTGCTGTGGAATCAGTTCTGACTCGTAACAACCTTGTATAGGGTTCCTGAGGAGCAGCTGGTGGATTTGAACTGCTGACCTTGTGGTTCACACTGACATTGCAATCAAGTACTTATCCTATAGCACCACATCAGGACTCCTAAATACTCCTCAACCGAACCTAAGGGAGCCCTGCTGAATAGTGGGTTGTGTGTTGGACTGGTTAACTGCAAGGTCAGCAGTTTTGAATGTACCAGTCATTTCAAAGGAGAAAGATTAGGCTTTCTGCTTTGGTAAAGATTTACAGCCTTAGAAACCCCAAACAGAGTCACTATGAGACCTGAGTCTATAACTCAGCAGCAGCAGCAGCAGCA